GGGGGGGGGTCAGCAGCTGGTACCTCGCTACCTTGTGTTTTACCCGAAACGACCGGTTCCAGAGGGATTAAAGTCGTCAAAGAGTGGTGTCACTTATGGAAATGTTAACCTTTAAAACAATAGGGGTCAGAGCAGAGGCGATATTAACTTAGCCTGAAAATTTGTGGGCTCAGCCTTAGAGAATTCCCAGTAGTGGCCTTGAGCTTCGGTCTTAACATGAACTGTCCCAGTAAAAATGCCCAACATAGACTGGTAAAGACGGCTGCTTTGGATAAAAGCATCAGCCAATGTGATGAAGCGTAAACGGCGTGTCTCTGATGCAGCCTATGAGCTGGGGGTCCGAGTGGCACGCGGCCGGTGATCCGGCGTTTACCAGAAAGGAGGGCGGTACCTTTGCAAAGCACGAAAGCTCCCAGGAAGTTGTTTCTGGTGGGACGTGGCCTGATCCTCTTCCACGTGGGGTCATCCGGCCCCTTAATGCGGCATAACAGAATGTCCCGCTTGCAGCGGTGAGCCACTTCTGGCTGGTACTGGTAGTCCATGACCCGCGGACCTGCAGCGGGACCAGCACAGGAGGCAGTAAATTCAACTTGGGTCGGCAGGGTCATCATTGTTAGCATTTACCGCCAAGACATGGTAGCTTCCTGCGGTGTTTAGAACACAGTTCCACGCCAACAGGTTAGAGGGCGCTGTGGAGCTCTAACGTACCTATGCGGCTGTAGCAGGCGTGACAGGCCTGCCTGAACTCATGGGTGGCAGCCAAGGGGTTACGGGACAGCAGAGAGAGGTTCGTGGTCACTGGGCCATTCTAGGAGTGGGGGGGGGGGGGGGGGGTGAGAAAGATAAAGACCTGTCATGTGAGACACACTGATCTGAAGATAGCAGAGCCCCAAGCACCGACCAAGGAAATTTCAAGTGCAGGAAGTTTTGTATGACAACGACCTTTGGTATTTAAGACACGTCGCTGTCTTATTGCCAAATTACATGCGAAGGCAGCTGATTGCAGGAAAAACAACCAGGAGTGGGAATGTCAGGACACACCCCAGCCAAGAAGCTCAATCTCCCTGACCGAAAAACGAAAGTCTCATAAGGGTGTGGCCCTAACAGGATAGTGTCCGTGTCGGGGGGGGTCATCCTGGCAGCAGGGTGTGTGCACATGCTTACGGAGTGAGTGGAGCTGTTGTTGCCAAGTCCTGGGATGAAACCGTGAGAGATTCTACCTCCTGGAGACACAGAAGACATCAGGATGACCCTTAACAAGGACAAAAATGGAATCATGTTTTTCTCCTAAAATAAATGAGCATGTGGCCTCACCCACCAGGCAGAGTGAACTCTGACAGGGAGTCCAGCCCCCCCGCCTCTGTGGCCCCCGTCCCCGAGGCGCTCAGGCCTGGGGTGAAGGAGTCCAGGGTGTCGAGCACCTGAACGGGGGTGTCGCCTGAGCCCAGGCTGGAGAAGGAGTCCAGCGCGTTGAGGGTGTTCACGGCCGAGGTGAAGAAGGCGGGGGGCAGCTGCGGAGAGGGGGCCGGTAGGCTGGCAGGGTAGGTGGGCCGGAGACCCACCACTGTATTGGGGAGGTTGGTGGGAATGGCACCCTGGACGGAGCTCTGAAAGGGAGGGGGGGGCTGTTATTAGAGGGAGGGGGTGTAGATGTGTAACAAGGCTGAATTTTACTGGAAATTACTTGGTTCCTTAGTGATTTACTTCATGATAGATAAAAACAGCAGAGGAATGAAACATGTGACAATGAAGAAGTGCATGCTGGGATCTAGGAGAACTACAAGGGTCTGTCTCAGTGTTTCAAACCCGTCTGGGGCCCTCGGCAAAGATAAGGTCTGCACGGCCGCTACAGCCAAGGACGCATGCCAGCACGATTAAAGAAAACTTTGTAGACGTAACAAACCAGATGCCACCATACGGAAAAATACCAGTCAGCCAGTGTCAAAGGTCAAAGGTCAAAGTGTAGAGAACAGAGTTAACGTGTGAGGGAGAAACGCAAGGTACATGTGTAAGAGGTGCAACAACATGTTGAGAAAAATGCAATTAAAAATACATGACTTCCTATAACATATTACACACGGCTTGATACAGTCAGCTCTGTTAACAGGAGAACACATTCACACTCCACCAGCTCCGGCTAAATCCATCTGTAAAGGTCTCAACTTCAAAAGAGGCTTTAATCTGATGCCATTAAGCTGTGCAAGCTGGCCTGATATTTACCACAATGACTGATCTAACAGGGGAATAAATGCAGACTGTGCCCCATGGGATTTGAAGTCCTGCGTCCTCCTTAGCCTGTAAGGACACGTACAGTGAGCGTACACTGACCTCCGCCCCCTTAGGGATGCAGTCCAGCAGGCCGTCCAGCTCGTCACCAATCACCTCGCATTCGCCCAGGTGCTCCGACACAGGCACCGAGAAGGACACCTGCCCCGGGCTCTCGGGCGGGTCCTCGGGGGACACGGGGGCTACCGGCAGCGACGATGGCTCGTCGCTCACGGGGATGGGAGTGGCCAGGGGGGCGGGAATGCACTGGGCACTGTCCTCTAAAGAGGCATGGGGAGGAAGATGAGAAAACGACTACTTTGTCCCTTTCATTAGATTGAACAGACAGTTTTCAGACAGAGCTCATACCTGATGCGATCCCATTTAAAGACTCCAGACCATTAGCTGAAATCTACAATAAAAAGACAAACAGAATGAGTCATTCCTCAGTCTGAACTCCACCAAGGTACAAGGAATTTCTTCAATATAAAACTAACCTCCCTTCATTGAAATAGTTGTCCTTGGTATATATACACATACACACTAATGCATAATATACGCCGATGAGCCAGAACATGACCACCATCATAAAGGGAATAAGGTGACATATTGAATGCAGAAGGAATTAGCAGTGATTAAGATCTGACTGACTTTGCCAAGGGTCATATCATTATGCTCAGACGACTGTGTCAGAGCATCTCTAAAACGGCAAAGCGGGGGGGGTGTTCACCGTAAACCGTGGCCAGTACTTACTGTGCCAGGAATGTTGTTATCTTACAGTCTAAAATATCCCAGATCTTGAGACGCACCATTTTCAAAAGACAGTCGTCAATAGTTGCTTCACGTGGGGGTGGGTTATGATTTAGCTCATCGGTGTATATTACACACATTAAAATGGGACATTTAGCCGTTACGCCTCGAGCACTCGCCTCCCCGGCTGTAGCATCCAGGTTCCCGTTGGTGTCCACACCCGCTACAGAAGACTCTGCCTGTGGAGACGAGCAGGGACCGGCAAAGGCACAGGGTCACACAGCGTCCTCACAGGCACAGCGCCCTCACAGGCACAGCGCCCTCACAGGCACAGAGCCCTCACAGGCACAGCGCCCTCACAGGCACAGCGCCCTCACAGGCACAGCGCCCTCACAGGCACAGCGCCCTCACACACACTAGCGGGTGACGAGGGCCCACCTGTGGGCTGATGTACGCCTTCCGCACCTTCAGACCCAACTTGCTGGCCAAATCCTGGGCCAACTCGTTGACCTGCCGGTCCTGGGAAAAGGCAGAGCAATGGCAGATCTGGTGAGCCCAACAGCGAGCGCTTAACTCTATTCCTGTCATCCACGCCGCCCTGCCTCCGTCCGACAGGGCGCCTGGCCGGCCGGCGTGTCCAGGACCATCCTCTGCCTGTCAGGTGAACGGTCACGCTCCATCCCCTCAGGTACCGCTGACGCTCGGCATTCCTGTGATGTAAGCACCAGCTCCCCTGCCTGCTCGTGTTACAGCGCTGCCTCACTGTAACGACGCTTCCGCGTGATAAGCTGCAGGTCTCAGGGTCTCTTAGCCTTGCGTAGCACTGCGCCTCACTGGTTCCACTGGGAGGAAGCCTCCCTAACTGGACAGCTACTACAAATTCTACCCTCTAGAAACTCTTTGGGTTCCTGATGCCAAATCATGATAAAATGAACAGTCTGATTTTTACCAGTGACAGCTGTTACCTCATTGCCCTTGTTCTACTGACATCGAGGGACCACCAACTGGCATTTGGCTTGGAACCGTTTCTATCGAAGAACCAGAATATGACATTTTGAACCGAACAGAATCGCGGTACTTCATCCCTGTGAGGAAAGGTAGCAGCTTTCACATGTTCCATCTTTCTCTCCAGGTCAGACAATTCCACTAAATAATGTATGGACATGAATACACAACCTAGCGTGCCGTTCCAGGTTCTCCCCCATCAAAATCCCATCATGCCCCTGGCTTCCACCCCTCCTCCTCCCAAAATCCCATCATGCCCCTGGCTTCCACCCCTCCTCCTCCCAAAATCCCATCA